AAAACCATACATCATTACCTGACTAATAGTAACCTGACATCATCTTTTCGGAAATAATCTAATATAATAAACTTGATATCATCATCTTTTAACATTATCTGACTAATATTAACCATCATTGAACTTACCAACTATTATAAACCTGCCATTATTGACCTTACCAAACTAATATAAACCTGCCATCATTGAACTTACCAAACTAATATAAACCTGCCATCATTGAACTTACCAAACTAATATAAACCAGACATCATCATTTTTTTAACTCACCCATCTAATATAAACCTGCCATATTTGAACTCACCCAGCTAATATAAATCAGACATCATCATCTTTTGAACTTTCCCAACTAATATAAACCTGCCATAATTGAACTTACCCAACTAATATAAACCAGACACATTCATCTTTTGAACTTACCCAGCTAATATAAACCAGACATCATTATCTTTTTAACATACCCAACTAATATAAACCTGCCATAATTGAACATACTTGACTAATATAAACCTGTCATCATTGAACTTACCCAACTAAAATAAACCTGACATCATTGAACATACCTGACTAATATAAACCTGCCACCATTGAACATACCTGACTAAAATAAACCTGACATCATTGAACATACCTGCCTAATATAAACCTGCCACCATTGAACATACCTGACTAATATAAACCTGCCATCATTGAACATACCTGACTAATATAAAACTGCCATCGTTGAACTTATCCAACTAATATAAATCTGACATCATTGAACATACCTGACTAATATAAAACTACCATCATTGAACTTACCCAACTAATATAAACCTGCCATAATTGAACATACTTGACTAATATAAACCTGCCATCATTGAACTTACCCAACTAATATAAACCTGACATCATTGAACATACCTGACTAATATAAACCTTCCATCATTGAACATACCTGACTAATATAAACCTGACATCATTGAACATACCTGACTAATATAAACCTGACATCATTGAACTTACCCAACTAATATAAACCTGACATCATCATCAAATGTGATAATTGGGTCATCTCTAGAATGCATTTTGGATTTCAGTATATCTTGAATGTGGGAAATGCTGCAACAAATTATAAAATAAGTGCATACATTTAATAAATTACAGAAAAATATTGATATTACCTAAATAGGCAGGAAAATGTTTCAAAGATTAAGATTTATAAAGATGAATATGTACCTGTAATTTGGTTTAATCTGAACATCACTGAATGTTATTTCCTTGTTCAGTAGCACTAAGGATACTTTGATTGGTAATAACGATGGCGTTGGTAGATGTTCTGTCAGATATCTATCATAAGCTTGTGATAGCATACGACCACAATTTTCTAATTCACTCAAAAAGGTCTGCTTTCGATACTCATATTTTTCATTCAGATCTTTTAATTTAACTTCAAAATCTATAATAAATGTTCTTTGTAATAAATATGATTTATGCAGTGGATATATAGACTATTTCAATGAAATTTAGATTTTAAACTTTTACAATATTAAAACATTACGACATACTGTAAAATACTTTATTTTCACTTGGAATTAATTTTCTCTGAAGGAATGATTCAGTGAAAATAAAATCCATCGAATATACCTTTTTTCCTGTGTTTTACATTCAACTTGTCGAAAGTCAGTGAAAATAATTCCATACAAAACACCTAAAACGTCATTTCAGCGAACATTAATTCCAGCTAAAATGAAGTATTTTACAGTACTTGATTATCAAATTAACAATAAATCAACCTAGATATATTTTTTGTTGCTACCTGTTTGTACTTGAGTTTGTTTCTGTAATTCTGCTGTACTTCCTGCCAACTCCTTTTCAATCATCTGGATTTGATGATTACATTGGGTTCGTAATTCTTGATAATAGTTTTCATGAGCAGCAAGTCCCTCTTTCAAGTGTTCTATTCAAACAAAAAGTGAGTTGTTCGACATGTCTTTTTATATTATTATTATTGTGAATAAAACAGTATTGCCAATATAATGAATCTAAACACTGTTTTTGGCATCCACTATATGAATCCAATAACAGTTTTATTCTGTTGCAATACATTCAAATCCAACAATAGTTAATTTGCAGTATGAAAAAACTGAATCTGTTATGCTAGGGAGTACTAAGGACTATGATAGCACATTGTGTCAACACAGGTGGCGCTATTCAGCACAGACCTGTGTCTTATGGCGCATAACTAGCCTCTGAGGGCTAAATATCTATTTGCCACCATTTTACTCAGCGCTTTTTCCAGCGGAACTATATACAAGTATTTTTCTTGTTTTGAACACATTCTCCCCCGATTTTTAGCAAGATTTAATCTTCAATGAGTTGATCAATAAAATACTCATCAGAATGTCTTATTTTATTAACATTAAAATGCATGTAATTTGGAAGGTCATTTAGCATTGACACGCAGATCGCCGCAAACCAACTGAATAGCGCCACCTGTGTTGACACAATGTGGAAATAGTTCCGACCACTTTTCCCAAAGTTCCACGTGCGGTATGTGTCAGATCGGTTGGTTTGCGGCGATCTGAGTGTCAATGATGATAGCAAGTACTATTGACAGTATGCTAGAGAATACTGTTGACAAATAATATCTATCACAAAATTATGTACACACTGTATTTTGTAGGCATTCAAAATTTCTATAATTTAGAGCTGAATATGATTCAAAAACTTTGAATCAATGTCAGTTTTCTTGGATTTCTTATGGTGCAGTGATAAAATTAATAACATGTAAATGTCATAATTTGACTTACTTTTAAGAACTTCTTCAACTGGAGAATGACTGTTATTTACATCTAATGAATTTGCATTACTCACAACTGTTGATATATTACAAAAAAGTAAGTGGTCTTTGAACTCATTAGAACATATAATGTCTGATAGAATATGGTGTACAATATATCTGTGAGTTTATTGGTTTTGAAAGAAAACATACCATACTTCCCAGAGTATAAGCCCAGGGCCCTGAACATGTGAAATCGGGAAAATGTGGGCTTATACTCGAGGACCACCTCAGAAAAGATAATTTTTTGGTAGGTTTAAAATTTAACCATCTTCCCAACCACAAAAAAATTATCCAAATTACATTTTTCGTTCACAGCGATGGTCTCTGAGAAATATTACGTCTTTTTGAGGAAAAAATGCGTAACGAGTCATCATTGACTTTTTACAATGAAGAAACAGACATGTTCATAAAAATACACACATTTTATTACAATACGGTTTACATACCGTCTGAATTTACGGTGCAAAAATGGGTAGGGTCTGTGGGAAAACAGTCAAGGCAAGATCTTTATCATTATCTTCGTTGTGGAATGTTTTCGATCGTATGCAAACTCTTGATACAAAGCAATTTCCACCATGGTGTTTTTCATCATGATTTGACCTGAACAACTTCCTTTGACCTAACAGGTCATGTCTTTCGCTAACCAATCAAAATGCTGTGTTGTACAGATGGAGTTTCCTGATTATTGACAAAGTAATTTTTTAAACATAATCCGGAAGTGAATTACCGCAATGTTAAAATGCGATCTATTATCACTGGTTTCTACAAAAAACGGTGATTTTTTTCCCCTAAAAGCTGTTGATTCGCAATTTTCAAAAGGAAGTATTTAAACCTTTCATGGTCGCCAACAAGTCATTCAATGAATAGTTTGCTTGTTCACACCCCATTCACAATAGTCTCAGTGAATACGATTATAAGGAAAAGTAAAACGATGTTCAATGACCAGGTTTCATGACTTGACGATCACATTTTTGGCGTTTTGAAAACTAATACTTAATATGGATTACTTCAGTATTGCAACATCGGGGTTCATCCTGAGTAAATAACAGAATAGAAAAGGTTCGAACCATGTTCTGTACATGCATATTTTAATAAATGTTGTCAACGCCCCGTAAAAACACCCTGTACTGGGCCTATACTCTGGGATGCCTTCAACTCGTTAATTGTCTAAAAATAGAGGGGTGGGCTTATACTCGGGGAGGGACTTATGCTCGGGGAAGTACAGTAAATAAAATTTTTACCAGTATGTATTAGTTCTTCAAAGTATGTCTTTTCAGCCATTTCTTTTGCTTCTCTGATGTTTTGTATGAGAACATCAAATTGATGATCATGAAGTAAATCTCTCACCTTGTGTACATCAGTGTTGCAACATGGGCACTTATGTCTGGAAATAATTCAAATATCACAGAATAATGATATGTTGGTTTATGTGAGGTCAATTATTATACATCTGTCACTGTAACTGCATAAGTTACAGTGTGTCGTAATTTGCAGTATTGCACTGAGTATCTTCATCGTACCATATTAGGAAACACAAATTCCAAATATGGAATGATTACATGTGTAAGCATCCTCTAATAATAGAATAGAAAACAAACTGATGCCAGGGTTTGACTAGACCCCACACAAAAAAGTTCGCTAAATCTGTTCTAAACGTTTTGGATTTCAACATTCCCATGATGTATTCCAGGGAGGAAAAAATGTATAATAATAAGGTTATTACAAGAATAATACAAAGTATGCACTCAGACAATACGCGGTTGATACTTCCGCTGTACTGCCTTTGTGCATACTTTGCAGTATCTTCGTAATAACTTCATATTATTAAAGCCTCACTGCATTAGATAATAGCATAATTGCAAGTCAATCAAAATATATATTGACTGACTTAGATGTGAATTATGTAAATCAGCTTTTGTGTAGATGTCACACAAACTGTGGCTATGCCATCTTTTCATAAAATTTGTTAGATTCTATATCTAGTTTATGAAAAGATCTCACAACTAGACATTTTCTATAGGCTAAGGCATCATGCATTTATCTATAGTTATTTTAGAGTTGTTAAGAGTGGTCTTTTATAGTTTGTTGCTGTTCGACTATGCATGCTCATTAGATTCTTAAACATTATGTTGGCATCTGAAATGAATTTACAAAACTGTTTATGGAGCACTAAGTCTTGTGACAATTATATTCACTATAGTGTTAGAGCCATTACCTTCTGTTAACACATTCTATAATGCATTCTTTACAGTATCTGTGTCCACATGGAGTCATGTAAGTATTGCATAACACTGACATACATATGGGGCATGTCATGTGCTCCCATAATGCTTTTACCTGCAAATATTGAACAAAATATAATTACAATACACTCTTTTATATATATGTATTTCAAGTATCAAGTAATGTTTAGTTACATCTGCCATACATATATGTATACATATTTCCATATTTCGTATCTGTCATATAATTAAGAATTTATACACAATGCCTTCTTAGTTAGAAATGAAAAATACTAAATGATATGTAATATTATCCACAAATCATTTCATTTCATTTTTTGTTGCTATATACTGATAGAAACATGTATTTCTAAAAATGTAATAAAGTTATTATTATTATTATCATCACATTATGTGAGGTACAAATGATACCAATAGCGAAAATTAAACTTAACATTAACAAAATAAATAATTTTTTCAAATTATTACAACAATTTTGAACAAGTCCTGTGGGAAATAGTAAATTATGTTCATTTTGACCAAAAATATCACATAAAATAAATTTATAGTAGAGAAAAATACATTAAAGTTAAAAATGTTGCACCAACATTTTGGCGAGAATAATTATGGCATTTTGAAGGGTTAAATAAAAGCTCTCTCCTTTTATACGATGACTGCCTCAGATTAATTGTTCATAATTTTAGTTGGCCAAAAGTTTGTGGAACAAGATAGGGAGAGATTAATGTGCTAAACTGACCAACTGATCCCATAGTCTCATTCTTATAATATGCATTGGACAAGCAGATATTTCATTCCCATCATTTTTAATATAAAGAGATATTTTTTAAGACATAATTTGTTTCTTGTCACTAGCAATACACGACTAGAACCTATCAAATTGGCCTAGTGGAAAGACTCAAAGTGTGTTGACTGTCTTAAAGCCTTTGAATAAAATATTTGTTACCATGGAGATAACACTTTCATTTCATATGAAATTTATAAAATATTTTCTCCCAGAAGATCCACTCTCGTGCTTCCTTCAAATCCTAAAAAGAGTCTTTCATGGGCTATAAAATCCATTTGGTAATGCCCATTACCCATGAGTCTTTGCATGTTTTTTTCACTGGTTTATTAGGCGATTTAGTGTCACGCATGCTAAAGATATATATTTTAGATATATAAAAAATTAAGAAATATCTAATAAACAAAACATCCATGCTTTCATTAAATGAAGTTATTCACTTGATTTATTTAAATTTATCAATGACTTTTTAAAAAAAACATGCCCTAGGTAGATGAGATTTGTGTTGTGCCCACAAAATATCTTGGCCTACATGTATGTAACAATAATAGAACGATGGTTATCCTACCCATTCAGACAATAGATGATTTCAGTCTGTTCTTTTATTGGTGGGGGATGGTTTAACCGTTCAGGTCAACTTGTAGTGAAAATGAATTAAACAACAGGTATTTACTCCTAAATGAGTCTCAAATATTTGTCAAGACATTATTCTCTTGATTTAACAGCTTGCGATGGTGGAAATTAATTAAAGCGAGAGGGTCGTCACCTGCGCATGTGCGTGAATTGAGTCCCAAGCGATGATAACAACACATGTTAAAAACGCAAAGGCTCATCGGTAAACGCTTGTTTAAGTTTAAATAAACAATGACACACTATGGTCATCTGATGCAGGTGCAGGTGACGCCTCCCCCGTTTCAAGCAAGAATTGTATACACCACAATGTATAAGTGTCAAATATTAGTAAAGACATTTATTCTCTCAATGCAACAATTGGAAAATTCAGTGAATAAGTACTAGCAGATAGTACTGAAGAATGTAGCAATTACTGATGCATTATGCTAATGTTTGCAGTAACCTGAGATGCATATGTTTTATTGTATTTGTAGGGAGTATTTAACCAAGAAAAAAAGAAAATACATTATGACCCAACTAATACTACAGTAGTACCTGTGTATCTTGCACTTTCTTGTGGTTAATTGATCATGATGAATTAATAATGGATAACAAGTTATCGGTAGTTTGCGTTAGTTGGATCTGTTCTATAGTACCAGAGGTACATTACTTGGGGTTTGCAACGTGCATAGTACTGTATGGTGACATCATGTCAAGATCCCATTCAAGTCTCATCTTGTAGATAGCGAAACTGGTGCTACGACCTTCTGACATGACAATAGGCGGTTTGTAATAAAACAATAAAACATGTATTACCACATTCATAGTGAAAAAATGTAATACATCGAAAATGTACAGAAAATATAGTTATTGTAATCCGTCATATCGTGAGCAGCTATTTTGATCCACCTGGACATCTCAGTATCCTAGTTACCTCGGGCATGCGCATTCGCATTTTCTGACTTGGAACGCATATCTAAGAGCGAGATTGAAATGGGATCTTAGTATCATGTCATCGTAGTTGCAAACCCCAAGTAATGCATCTCTGATAGTATCGGGTACTAGTAGTCTGAGAATTTATAGATTGCCCTTTTAAAAAGTTATGACCAAGAAATTAATGAATATTCATGAGCACAGAAACTGCACCTCGTGAATAAATTAGCATAATTTTTTAAAAATTCGTCAAGTGTAGGTACTCTGTACGTCGTCTCCTGGAGTCTCATGCCGTCACAGTTATTGCCGTTTTAAGAATTGGCAAAATCTTCAGATGTATTATCACACTCTCACTACACCCCAGGGAATAGCCTAGAGTCAGTCGATGGGTATTCACGTAATTGTAAAATTATTTCTTCGCGTTGACACCCATGCAGAATACATAGCTGTGACCAGGATTCAGAACTTAAGGTAATTCCGGTCAAAAAGGTCTTGTTTTTCGACTGCTGTACGTACTTGCCTGTTAGTGTTATACTCAGTGTTGTGTCAATAAATATTAGTATTACTGTTTCAGAATGATCACACAGCGTGTATGAGACTTACCGGTATACTGAGTGGGAGTTCCTCGTCTTCCATGGCAAGATTTCTTTCAGCGATACGCAGTAATTACTATCCTATACTGTAATGATGCAAGTTTCTATTTTGGTATTACAATGTATAAACAAGGAAGTGATTACAGCGCCCTCTTATGACCAGACCTTGTCACTTTCACCATATTGTAATTTTATGGGCAACATTCTCCTCCCCAGAGTTCCTTGCGGCTAGAACAGTGGAAGTATATATTCGTAGAAATACCTGCCTTGGAAATATCTGCCTTGGAGTTGGGAAACACAGTCACATTCTACGCTCCTAAAATAAACTATTTTTCAGTGCCGACATTGGGGGCGCCCTTCAGTGGCTGCATACTTGTATTTCTCTTAGTTTTGCCTACAACCAATCAATTTCAATTATGACGATTCATAGAAGTACCTCCTCGTTTTATATTCGGTGGGGTTTTTTGTCTCCACTAGTATAAAAAAGGACGAAGAACTTATATTGAGATGGCCAAGATTTTCATGTCTGAATAAAGCATGGCTATCCTCGCTCAATTCAAACAATAACACCCGGGTCGTGGCATAGCGTAGCATACATTCAAATAATAACAATTAATTTTTTTATTTTACTGTTCTTGAAAAAAAAAATAATAGAATAAAATGTAAAATATATAAATTTCAGTACGACAGTTATGAAATAAACTAGGACAAATACCGCCTTGGATATTTTTTTGAAGTGTGAAATTAAGGAATATAAACACACATATCACATCAAATGTTACGATAGTTTTGGTTGATGGCAAAATATACCATATAGGCAATGTAATAAGACCTCATTCGATGTATCAATTTAGGTGTCAAACATACAAATCAATTCTGAATGTTTGCAGATAAAAAGGTAATCAGTCTGACAAATAACAATGCTTACAGAGAGTAAACACTGTCAGCATAAATTAGTGCCATTTTGGATAACATTTCTGCCATTTGTATTAAGAATAAAAACAAGTAAATTTTAAAGTGCAAACATATTTAACATCTAGACACTTAAATGGATTAATGAATGAATCACTATCGGCGGTTACACATCTATATTCCGACACCCCTATGTTCCGACATCCCTATGTTCCGACATCCCTATGTTGATATGCTAATAGGTTCTGAAACCTACGAAATTTTAGAAACGTTTTTGGCATTTCACTGCATTTTTATCTCTTTACTATAAGAAAAAATATCATTATTTTTCTTCAAATATTATTCTACGCTCACCTTTTGTAACACAATGTTACATTTCTTTACATTTAAAAAAAATGACGATACCGGATTATAATACTTGCCACTCTTCTGGCCATGGGCTTTCATGGAGATGTTTTGTGATCATCTTCGGCAATATTCTCAGACGTGAAGTATCCTATCAAGCTCCAGATGCAAAATATTTTTTTTTAAATTATTGTCAAACGTTCAGAGCAAACAATAAACTATGTACCTGACAGTCTTCATGTACGCCTCTGACAACTTGTACTCGGGGTCATCTAAATTACATTGTTTAGTGATCGACGTTCATCCAATAAATTCTGAGCCGGCCATAATGTGCCATATTTTCAATGAAAATATGTACGCTGTGGTCGGAAGCCAAATACAAAGTACCCCTCCCCATGGTAAAAC